CAGTGTTTTCCCGTGTGCTGGCGGGGAGGAGAAGTCTTTGAGCTGGAATCCCTCAAATAACCTTTAAAGATGAAGGTAGGCGAACTGCGGAGCGGGGAACGGCTCCCTTTCCCCCTCCCCGCCGTCGCTAGCTGCTCTGGCGATTTCATTTTTAATCGCACGTCTCGGCTGAGCGACAGTCGGATAACGCTGGCCGGGGTTTCGGTGCATGCTGCAAATCCTGTTTCTTGCTCTCCAGCTGAGGTGTGGGTGAGCGAAGCTCTTATTGTCTTGCAGTAGTAGTCTGAAAATTCACAACGTCTTTGAGTTGTTGTCTTTTGGGCTACTGTCTTTAAATGCTTCCTGTATCAGCAGCTGCTATTGCAAGTTTGCAAAACCACAGCTTTTTGTCCTGCCTTCGCTCTTGCCGGTTTTTTCAGTACAAAGGATTAACAATTGCAGTATGATTCACAAAAGACAGAAAAACTTTGTTTGCCTTCGGAGTCCAAGAAATAATAACAATTTAAAAGAAAAAGAAAACCCATAACAGGAAAAGTTATTTAATACTCTGTGCTGATTTCCTGTCTTGATAGACATTTTCAGCATGGTAATTTTGTCCTTGTTTATCAGTTGCTACAAGCACAATAAAGTGAAATTTCGAGTAATAAAGTCCAGATTAAGGAAAACATGATGAGAAATATTTCTCTCTCTGAAAATGTATACGCAATTAAGCTTTGATAAAGGCATTTCAGGAAACAAAAATACTAGTTAACAGCTGTTTGAATGATTACAACAAATTTCTCTAGAGGTCTCCTTTTAGTCAGGAAAAAAAAATCCTATATATAGAATGTTATAGACTTAATTGTAAGTATTGGGATGATGGCAGTCTCAAATGTTTAAGATAATCTGTGTCAGTGGATTGCTTATAACTAAAAAAAGTACAGCTATCTTTTATACTGCCTTTTTGCAGTTGAAATCTTTTCCTTTTGTATGCTGTATAGGAATGGCTTGAATTAATAGTCACTCCTGTACATTATTACCCTTTTTATGAGGAGATGTTCCAAATATCAGTTTAGTACCCTCAAACATACTTCTGGGAGAGTAATTAGACTGACAGAATTGGGGGGGGGGGTGTCAACATGACTGGTAAAACAAAACTTCCTGTAACTTGTTTGTTGGTTTGTTTTTTTTTTTTTTCCTTTTAAAGAACAGTCTGATTGCAATTCCTAGTAGACATTGTTTATCACTTAAGTCAATAGGTCTAAACGTTCAGGTGTAAAATTAAATATATAATGATGTTCCTGTAAAAATAAATATGAAGAACTAAATTTTGTTTTTATTTTTTCTTTCTTAATAGGCAGCAGATGAGCCTGCCTACCTGACAGTGGGAACTGATGTCAGTGCCAAGTACCGTGGTGCCTTCTGTGAGGCAAAGATTAAGACAGTAAAAAGGCTTGTGAAAGTCAAGGTAGTATACTGTGCTTGTTGCTGATTTTGTTAAAGCATTGTGTTGAAAGGACTGTCAGATCCTAGTCCTGAAGATTAGGGAATGTTCATCACCTCACTGTATGGATTTTAAAGACCCCCTGAATGTTATTTTTCATATTTTGGTGTTGGGTTTGGGGTGGGTTTGTTTGTTTTTTGTTCTTTTGGGGTGGTGGTGGTGTTTTTTTTAATTTTCTTAGGGGGATGCTGGAACAAGAATGAGCTTTCAAATTACCTGTTCTTGCTACTTCTTTCCTGATCACAGTCGTCTTCTGTTTGTGAATGCATCAGTTTCGCTGCAATCAGTTTTGATGTCACAAATAGAGGATTATGGCTTTACATGAGTAATAAGGAAGAAGAGCAACCTCTTCAGAAGCAAAAGTTTCATTTCATTCCAGCTGACATTCTCAATTTTATAGCTCAGAACTTAAGAGGCAATGCCAAAATAGATCAGTATAAGAGCAAAAAAGATGGCAATAATTAGTTTCTTAGACCATGTTTTAGAAATGTCCAGGATAACATTTGTTAAGTTTTGAACATCTTTCTGCTGCTTCTAAAACAGCATGCTTTGGCTGTAGCTGAGTTTCTACACATGCATAGTACTGGCACATAATATTAATTCACGTTTTCAGGCCTTATGCCAAAACAACCAAAAAAGAAAGTCATTATTTGGGTGTTGCAGTACTGTTGTTAATGCTAGTATGGGAAAACAAGAATAAAACGTAGTTAAATGAATGTTAAGAATTCAAAGTAAATACAGAAATTGTTCTTCTGCTTTATTTTGTCAAAATCTTCCCACTTCCTACTTTCTTGTCTACTGTCCAGGATATGTAAATAAGGCATTAGTGACCCAAAACCCCCTAACAAATAGAGATGAAAGCTTCTTTTTATAACTACACATCTAAGTTTTTGTGTGCTTTAATGCTTAGATCAAGTAGAACAAGCTATCAGCCTCTTCAGTTACGTATATAGATCATATCACTTTATCAGAGTGCTTTTCACGATAAGAAAAAAACCCCACAATTCAGATATTGGAGTCTTTTCCCCTGTTCTTAATGAGTACTTTTAGAAATTTTTGATGTTCTTTGAAATCTGTGTTAATGAGAAGCTCCGTAGGAAGCAGCATGCTGCCCTTCCTAGTCTGACATCCTTGATTTTGTATCTGTGTCTTTGGTCTGATAGAGTATTTAGACTGTTAGTAGGTGTGAGTTTCTTTTTATCGTTAGAATCTTATGCTTTATTACTCCATGATAAGATTTGGAAGTACATGAGGCTGCTGTGACTTGGTGGAAATTCCTGTCACTGTATCTCAATTACATTATAACAATTGAAGTTTTAACAAGCTAAGCCTGATATTGTAATTAAGAGCATGTAGGCACACCCCCGGCATGCTTGCCAAGAGCGCAGAGAGTCCAAAAAGTCCGGTAGTCTTTTCCTGAGCAGCAGGACAACCTGTATTCATCTTAGTGCCGATATAAAATTTTAAATAAAAGTTGCATGAACTGCATTATTAACCTGAGTGTGTGTTAATACCACCACTATCTTAGCATGCCCCTAGTGTTGTATATATAAATACAGCTACAGTGTAGACTGTGGTTGGGGGATAATTGGAGCTAGAAAAGTGGACATGCCTATTGGTGGAAAGGAAGCTCCTGGAACTTTTGATTCCTGGAAAGAAATAGGGATTTTGGAATTTTTTATTAAAACACCGTAGGTGGTTTTGCTTGTAACAAATGGCAGTGAAACAGTTAACAGTGGTGACATCTAAATATTCATCTTTTATGTTTCTAAATTGAGTCTCTGCAAACTCAGGGACTCAAATTGCATAGGCTTACGTTCACGCTGTCTCATTAGTGTTACCTTCTCAAACATAGGATTTTAAAGGGAGAAACATAGTTTACTTGCACTGTAACTGATCCTTATTTTCATTACACTTGTAGTGATTCACATCTTTACCATAAAACCTTTCTCTTGCTCAAGGTAGCAGAAGTAGTTGTATTGCGGTCAGTTCGGTGATTTTTTTATATATATTTAATAAAGAGAGCTTTTTAGTTTGGCTGTAGTTTAGTATTCAGTGTGTTGTTAATAAAGTGCCACAGTTGAGAGAGAGAAAAAAACCTGCTTAATCTTCTGATCTGGAAGCCCAGTTCCAGGTGTGCCCTGGATTGCGTCAATATCCAAACTCCCATCAAAATGTATGTTCTTTGCCTTGGAATGGCTGATGTTTGATTTGCCCGGTTCTTTAATTATGATGTTTCAGATTAAATATTAAGTGTGATACTTGGGGCTTCCTGTGAGTAAAATTGTCCATGCCAGGCGTTCTGCATTCAATAATGTTTGAGTCCATTTGATTGATGAAGATCTTGTTTTCCAAATTATTATAACTACAGTTTCATATGCTTTTTGTATGCTGTTGAAAATAAGTTATATATAAAAGTTTATGAATATGTTTTCAGGTGGTCCTGAAGGGTGATAACTCAACTCAATTAGTGCAAGATGACCAAGTGAAAGGACCTCTAAGAGTATGTATATTGCATGCCTTTTTTTTTTTTTTTTGTAATCACATAATTGATTTGTAAAATTCTAAATTTTGATGCTGTTTAGGTGCGTACCTGTTCTACAGAATTTAAATCAACGGGAGGAGGCTCATTGCTTTGGGTCAGATTGAGTCTCAGTAATTAGTCTTAATTCTTGTAGCTTTTAGAGGCTGTTTATGCTTTTCCATGTAGTATACTCCATACACAAACAGTTTTTCACACACAGTGATTTTTCTGTCTTGTAGGACACAAAACTTCTTGTAAGTAATGGAGAACTTGGTTATGAAGCTAAGTTCAAGCCCGTTAGACAATAGTAAATATGATTGCTCTCACTGCGTTTTAAAATAGTTGATGTATTTTATATAAAAATATGTGTTGGTTTGTATTTTTATACATAACGGTTGTCTGCTAAAATACATAGCTGCATTATAAAACACTGACTACAAATAGAGCTTTCTAGAGGAGAGCATCTTTTTTTGTCTTTGTCTTTTTTTTTTTTCTCTAGCTGCTGCAAGAACACCAATGTATGTTGTAGGCTGCTGCTGGAATTCTGATCTAGTTGACAGTATAACAATGTTTAAAGTATCAAAAATATTAGTAATTGCGTGCACATCAGTAATAAAGTAATAATTACTTTGAATATTTACTTCCAATTAGCCTTCTATTATTTCTTGTGATGCTGTAAGTCATGCTGAAATTAGATGTTCCGAGTTTCTTACTGCTTTGCTGTCTACTTGTAGTTCAGCCTTCGTGCTTAAGGACCTTTGTTCTTACCAGTGAAGTAACTAAATTTTACAAAGTAACACTTCGCTAAAATGAGTCTTTAAATAAAAAAAAATTTAGCTTGCTGGAAGAATTAATGTGTACCTGTGTTTTTCTCCATTATATGGGTTTGGGATTATGTGTAACCTCGAGATACTCCTTTTTGCAGGTTGGTGCAATGGTTGAAACCAAAATGCCCGATGGATCCTTTCAAGAAGCTGTTATCAGCAAGTTGACGGATGCTAGTTGGTATACTGTAGGTGAGTAGCCACATGCTTTCATTTATGGTCTCTAATCTTTGAACAATATATTTCTAATTATAGGTAATAACATAAGCAATTCTATCTTGTATTGTAAGGTCAGAGAAAGATTTTGTAGGGAACTTTAAGTCTTCCAGGTCTTGTTTCCTTTTTCCATTTAAAATAGGATAAAAATTATTTGGTGTTCAGGGGGGCTGTTGCAAAGGTAATTGCAGGGCTGAACAATCAAGTTTTATTTGGCACAACATATGTATGCTGATGTTAGTGTCACTCATTGGAATTCAGAATAATTTTTGCAGATTTTAAGACAAATTTCGTAATTGTGCTTCTAGCTGAAAACCTGTGGCATGTAATGAATGACTGAAATGCAAGCCTTTCACTACATGCGGTCTTGTACACAAGAACAACATTGGTAGCACTGCTATGCATTCTGAAGTCATTCCTCTGTTTTGTGTAGAGTTGAGGGTCGTGTTTTGTATAAAGCAATAGAAGAAAGGATTTTTTTTTTTTTTTTTTTGAGAAAAGAATTGACACATCACACCTTAAAAAGAGGGGGCATTCACTTATGACATGAATGACTGTTTGCTTTAAAATGATTTTCAAATAATGATTATATCTAAAGTGAAATAGAAAAGTACTTTGCTTCTCATGCTCACGCACTTTTCAGTTATTGAGATAGAAACCTCAGAATGGAGGGTCAGTGAAATTTCAATGTTGAACAAGAATTCATTGCAAGATAAATTTCTTTATTTTCAATAATTAGAATTGCTCATTCTGATATCTAGACTTTTCTGAAACAGCTTTAACAGTAGAATGACAAAACCCAGCAGCATTCAAGTAATACTAGATAAGCAAATAAAAACCCACAGTATTTGAATCAAAGAAAGAGCTTTGCAAGCACCCATCCTTTTTTGCACAACTTTCTTACAGCAGTGGAGCGTTATATTCACTCATAGTAGGATGGAGGGAACGTGCTCCTCTTAATTGTCCTGTACATGCTACTCTTTGGTATTGCTTTTGGGATTGGTACTTGTAAATTTAAACTATTTGTTTCTTACTAGCTGCCTTGTGTACTGAATGTATTGAGCTTTACTTCTCTTGAGGAGTCCTCTGTCACATGAAGTGTCCGTTATTTTGATTCATCAACCCCTTTTTTAAGATATAAAGAAGATATTTTCAGTAATCCAACATTTCCATTGCAGTAGGTGAGGTTATGTCATCTTTGGTGGGATCAGGATAAGGCCCTCGCTGCAGATAACTTGGAAGGATTTATCACTTTGTGATTATTATTGTTATTACGTGCTTTAAATATAAGCCAGTCAACCAGTTGACAGAGCTCACTGCTCTTTGCAGTTTTCTTCAAGATTCTAATGTTGCTGTAAAATTGTAGATTTAGCTGCAAAATCATGGTGTATGTCAGGTCAGGGAGTAAAGGCAGGATTATTTTGGAGTGCAGAAGATTTAAAATCTACTTGGTTTAGTACTATGATATACGCAGTGAAGAACACTGGACCTTCAACTTTGCTTTATGTTGACTTAGAGGTTCACCATTCTGATAGAGAAGAGATAAGAAACACAGTCTTGCACTGATAATTTCATGGTTTATGAATTAGCATTTCCATTTTAAAACTCTTATTTTAAAGTAGCATTTTTAGCCAATTCTGTTTGAATTCAGACCAGAAGATTTACATCAGTAAACCAACCCTACATATTCCTCCTTCAGTGATTAAAAAACGCTTTAAACTATTAATTGATAAACATATTTGTCTTCTTACATTTGACAGGTGAACTTTAAATCCCCTGTTTTGGGGGTGAGTTTTGTCTGGTTTTTGTTTTTCCTTTTTTCTTTTTTTTTTCTTTTTTCGTTCTTTTTTTTTATCCTTTTTTCTTTTTTCCTTCTTTTTCATTTTTTTCTTTTTTTTTTTTTCCTTCCTCCCCCCCCTCCTCTTTTCTCCCCCCCCTTTACTTTTGAGCAGTACACTTCTACCAAAAGTCTTCACTTGAGCAGGTAGTTTGAACAGTGAATACGTGCTCTGCCCTGTATTAGTGGATTGTTGTTTAGATTTAACAAGTTATGGAACTCTCCCCAGTAATATAAGAGCGAAATCATGCATGCCATGATTTTTACTTTATACATTTATTAAAGTGCAGTTCCTCAGAAACTTGAAGCAATGGATTAATTTATTATCGTAATTTTCTTTCCCAAAAAAAAAATTTTTGACAGGTGGAACAGGGAAAATAAACTCACATGTTTTCCATATGCAAATGTATTAAGACTGCTAGGATTTTGTGAAAATTTGGAGCTGGGGGTGTGGGAGGGACTTAAGTCATCTTACGGTAGGCTAACATGCAGTACCATAATACGGCATGTAGAGTCATGCCTATGACTATGAAAATACAATTGTAACACATTGGAACTGTATTTAGATCTTACAAACATTTTTTGAGTTGTATGTAGTGGCGTGCTTATTGGTGTTGAAAGCACAGGTAATGTTGACCAAAGTAAGCAGATCATGAAGTTTGTGTCATTAAGAAAATGGTTATTTTACTTTTAAAATTGGGGTAGTGTTCTAGGTTGAGTACAGAAACGTTGAGGTGTGAAAAATAAGCGTTATTTTTTTGCCTGCTGCTTCCATTGTATCTTTGTAGAAAGTTTTGGCTAGATATTAGGTGTATGTTTATGTTGCTGTGAAGCAAGCAGAGTTGAATTGATTCCTTTTTAATACATGGTGGGCTGTACTATGTAGCAGTCTTATTGACTGATTCAGTCAAAGCTAAAGAGTTGAGAGGGCAGTGGATTAAACAGCCTTCAGGTTTCTAGAATGTCTTCCTGAATGTGGTCAGGCTTGAGATGGAAAGCACAAGGGAAAGCTTGTGTTCCAGTAGTATGTGCTTTTCCTGTACTATTTATTTTCTGTGTTATGTAGCATCTCTTTCTTGGTGATCTAAAAGCAGACTGATAAGGATAGGGAACTGAGTGATATATCCAGACAAACGTTTTCAAAGTATTAACTACACAAATCTAAAAAATCCGCCAAAACAAACAACATGCGTGTCTAGTGGGAAGTGATGATGTTCACTTTTGGAAATCGGGTTCTCTATTTCAGATGGGTATCTAAAGAAGAAAAAAAGTCAGTTGAAACAACTTTGCTTTGTTCCATAAGGTGAACCAGTAGAAATGCTATGTTGAATTTGCTGTAGTAGGCTGCTTTGCCACCAACATAATGAAAGAGCCAGGATGGTGATCAGTTAGTCAGTCCTGTCTATTAGTGGTGTTCGTGTACCCAAAATAAATAAGGATTTATTTTTATTGTAGCTGCCATGGAATCACTTTTTCACCTTTTTTTACTTGATAATGATGTTACTGTAGCTGTTTAGTTATATTGAAATTTTCAGCTGTGATTCGGAAATAGTTTTGAAATTACCTTTGCAATTCTGCTTTTCAGTATAAGTAGGTGAAGAAGCAAAAGCTGTTTGGAGTGAAAGTTTAACAATGTCTGGAGAATGCCATTGCACAAGTCAACCTTCTCATCTGCTTAATTGAATCTAAGGTGGGATGACAGTAATAGTGGTTGAAGTTCTTTGGATAACAAATGGCTCAGTTGGATGTTTTAATCTTTAAAATGCAATTATTTAAAATTAACTTAATTTACAAATTTTAAAGTGCTGCATTGATGCTTTTGAAGTGCCAAATATATTGCTAGGTGATAATTGCATAGCATTAGAATGGTCTATCAGATCTGCTTTCAGCTGAGCCATGTTTGAATTACGGCTTACTTAGCATACCATCCACCTGATGATTCTCTGTTATAAAATGCTTCAGGTAAATACTAAAATAATATCTGAAATGACAAAAAAAATGAAACCACAAGCCAGACCACACCTTACAAAGTGCATAGTTGTATTTTCCTTCTTTCACATTCTCTCTGGAATCTTACAAGCATGACCAGAATTTCCGAAAACAGAAATCCTCATGTGTATGTTCTTTAAGGAAACACTTTTGCATCCTTCTGTACAGTACTAGAAGCGATGTAATGTCTATATAAAAGTGAGAAGCAGTATTTCAGTTCAGCAAGCATCCAAAGAGTTGCTGTTAGAATGGCCTTTTTTATTGCCCCACCAAAATGAAAGTGTCATCTCTCTTTTGACAAAACTCATGTCAATAATCCGTATGTGCCTAGATCTCGTTAAATATATGTAATTTAACTGTATCTACAACTTTAAACAAAAGAAAAAAACAGATCAAATACATTGAGCCCTGTGCCTTGTGTTTTGCTAGATAAAATAATGGAGAAGTTTTTCTAAAGAGAGAAAGAGAAAACATATATTAGCTTTCAGTAATTTTTGCTCTAAAATGAGTAGGAGATAGGGAGGGAAAAAAAACAAAAGAGTGAGAGGCATTTGCAGTTTCTAGCAGACCTTGCTGTCAACAGTAGGGCTTTATATACTATTTAGAGTGAAAGGGAGCGTGAATCTTTGAGAATTATGGCTTTCAAGCTTCATCTAGTACTTTTATGTAAGAGAAGACATCTTTTCTCCTTTTAAAAGTTATCATGAAATGGCAGAATATTTTAACATAAATAATAAAGAATTTATTTTTCTCATTTTTTTCAACACTGCATGAGTCTGCAAAGCCAACAGAGTTTTTCCTTTTTGGCTCTGGTACGGGGTTGTACATCAACACGGCCCAACTTTGGCTGTGCTGTAAGCCAGACACCACTTCTGAGACACCTCTGTGAGCCCCATACCTCTGCTTGTGCTGCTCTCCGACCTCACGTGGTGGTAGTTCCCTTTCCCTCCTCTCCTGTGGTCAGTGTGGCAATTTGCAGGGAATGCTGATTGAGCGTGCGCTGGGAGGAGTTAGATACCTGACTGCTTCTCCTTGTGCAAGTGAAGTTTTGGGTAGTCTGCTTGAGTTGTTCTGGAAATGAAGTATAGTCTCAGCCACCAGTTGCATGGCTCTGGAGTACCGCATTTAGGAGGGTAGGTGACAGAAACAA